GTAGTCGTTGTAGAATTGAGGAGCCAAAGGTATTCTAAGAGAATAATAGTGAGGACACGAGCGGGGCATGAACTCACAATTATGTGGTCGTTTTAGCTCAGTTATGTCTTGAACTCTGAATGAAATGAGAGGAAACCGCTAGAACTACCGTTTTCCCTTGCACATGGACATCAACAGTAGGCTATATCATTCCGTTGAACATGATTCCTCGAACTAGACATTGTGTGCAGAGTTCCGGTATACATTCAAGGTGTCGAACCTATTATAACCCTATGTACTATGCTGTGCACTATCTCTCGAAGGTGGCCACCTTACCATCTTCACCATCTTCACCATCTTCACCATCTTCACCATCTTCACCATCTTCACCATCTTCACCATCTTCACCATCTTCACCATCTTCACCATCTTCACCATCTTCACCATCTTCACCATCTTCACCATCTTCACCATCTTCACCATCTTCACCATCTTCACCATCTTCACCATCTTCACCATCTTCACCATCTTCACCATCTTCACCATCTTCACCATCTTCACCATCTTCACCATCTTCACCATCTTCACCATCTTCACCATCTTCACCATCTTCACCATCTTCACCATCTTCACCATCTTCACCATCTTCACCATCTTCACCATCTTCACCATCTTCACCATCTTCACCATCTTCACCATCTTCACCATCTTCACCATCTTCACCATCTTCACCATCTTCACCATCTTCACCATCTTCACCATCTTCACCATCTTCACCATCTTCACCATCTTCACCATCTTCACCATCTTCACCATCTTCACCATCTTCACCATCTTCACCATCTTCACCATCTTCACCATCTTCACCATCTTCACCATCTTCACCATCTTCACCATCTTCACCATCTTCACCATCTTCACCATCTTCACCATCTTCACCATCTTCACCATCATTCCAATATCCTTGTACCGGCTCTTACTTTCTTAGTGATTGTTATCGTACTATTTGCTCTATTTTGTTGTGTCTCAAAGCCCATTACGTTGTAGAACCAATTTGGTCACTCCTCGAGTACAATCACGCCAAATTTCCTGATAGGATTAACAGATTCATATCACCCATGAAAGCTTACTACATCCAGTTAGCCATGCTTCTAATCCATTCCTCACATCTTGATACGTAACTAATACGTGAAGTTCGTCACCGAGTAGCAGTATGGATTTACTGCAAATAGAACATCAAGAATGAAATGATTCGGGACATTTTGGAGACGAGATACGCCAGATCACTGGTGTCTGTGTAATATATTTTGAATCTGGACACCGCATGAGAAAAAGGAAGACAACAAATTCGTTTCAATTTAAAATAAAAGAAAGCTATCTATCGGTCTATCTATCGACCTAAGTATCAATTTATCGAACTGGTAAATCAAAACGCCCAAATCAACGTTAGCAATCTAGAGGAAATCAAGGCATCAATGGGCGGCGACGGCTACTCCTGGTCGTTGGCCAATCGGAGTATTGACCGTGCCTTGGGGTTCCATATTTTGGGCAATCGTATCCCGGTATAGGTCATACATGGCTTTCGCCACCGTCAAGCATGCTTCTCTCTGATTATCATTCAAGTCATCCCAACCCTTCTTTTCCTTCCATTCTGCCATGAATTCCGCTTCCGTGCGTATGGCTCTTTGGCCAATTGCGACGTTGGGCTTGTTCTGCACGGCGTTGGTGTTCGAGTTCACAGCAGCGCCAGAGGAAACCGGATTGCGAGGTGCCTCATCTCCGTCAAGATTGATTGGGTTGGTTGATGCGCCCTGTCCTGCACGCAATTGTTCAGTGGAGGCAGGGGGGAATTTGCGGTTGGCCCGCAGAAAAGAATTGAGTTGCAGGTGAATTGAGACGTTGTGTATGCTCTCGCTCAAGTGATTGCCTCGCCGCTGACCCCAATGGGCAAGGGGTGGGAGACCGATCTTCAGAGCCTCTTCCAGTGTCACTCTGGAGCACACGCTGATACCGTTCTTCTTGTTTGTCCCAGATCTCTTTGATCTTTGCGTCTGCAGCACGCTTGCCATTGCAGAAGCGAATGAAATCGGATCTCGGAATCCAGGAGCAAGAATTTTGCATTTTGTCGGTATCTTCTGACCTCAGGTCCTTCCATTTAATCTTCAACCAAGTACAGGGATCAGACTTGTATTTTTTATTCGGATTTTTCCTTTCTTCCGAGGCAATCCCGTAGATCCCGACAACATTGTTCTTGGTATACCGCCAGCCTTTGCTTCTTGGGCTAACTTTGATCTGGGAGATCCGCAGAGACGATTCGGAAATGCTGTTCGTGGAGGCATTGGTATATCCATGTCTGTATTTGAACTTGTATCTGGCTCCATGGCGAGGCCCGTACTGGAGAATGACAAAGGCTGATCCTCGCAGGGTTCCCCAACCATCTATAAGAGCGTCGCCTTCCTCCTCATCATTGGAGGGATCAAGGGTGGCTAGAAGCTCTGGCTCTTCGGGCTCGGTGGTACCTCGGGCACTGGGAGACAAATCATCTTGATTATGTGAATGACCGGCCGCAGGAGGGCGTTCGTGACCACTTGAGCTGGACCCGGTTCCAGCATCATGCATCGGGGTGTCATCTATCTCGATAGACTCCACCACTGGACTAGGCGGTGGTTGTGGGGAATTGGCTTGGTCAATCAGACCATTGTCGTCAAGCTGACCGCCATCGTGTGTGTGTGACGAGTTGTCTGTTGGAAGTGGCTTTTGCGAAAAAGACGCCTGTGCATCTGCACTTTCCATTAATCCACGGGGCAGCCGGCCTCCTTCTGCTAGTTCCACCATTTCGGGAAGGTGAGATTTGTTGCCCTTGGTGTTACTGGTAGAGCTTTTATTAACTCCACCATTCGATGCCATATTGAATGACCGACCGCGATGTGCTCTGCGAAAAGCAAATCATTCACGCGGTTGATGGCAGGTATTTATGCATTTCGAAATTTAGAGCGATGTCCTTGTAGTCCTGCGATCTTTCAATGTGAGTTGCAAGTAAATGCGTGTACCTCAGATTTTTTGCTTGTGCTCAACTTTCAATCCGAGCAACTGAGCATCAACTTAGCTACACTCTAGCTCGTTGAAATTTGCCTCAGAATAAAGAGACAAGTAAATACGAGGGAATGCGAACTTCATAAGTTGCTGGCGAGTTCTGAAGCCTTGGCTTTGAGTGTGATCACTTTTTGTGTCCGGACCCTTATTGATCTTTACTTTGGAAGGCATTTTTTCCTCTCCAGCCAAATAACGAGTAAGGCCAGCAATTTCATGAGGGTAAAAGACCATTTCTAAGCAATCAAGCAGCAAAATTCCTCATAGTGATTTAATTGCGGCAACTGTCGCTGGGGTTTTAACTATTGCATGCACATGCGTTGACGTCCAGAACTCATTCGATGGGCCGGTCTCAATTTGAGAAAGTTTGTGGAGCCAAAAAGTCAGTTTCAAGGTGCAAATATGTCTTGTATGCAATACAGCTGCTACGCTGGATCAAAATTATAGCTGACAATTTGTTTAATTTCTAAGGTTTCCTTGGCAAGGACGGCGTCTAAGACTGGCCGTCCTACGATCCTCAGTCTATTGGGTATTAAAAATTACCATATGTGCTTAGTCGCAAATCTTTCTTCCATCTGGGCTCGGGCTAGTACAATTTGCATGACGGAGGTCTGTGATCAATATTGTATGGGAACCCGAACTCTCCAACTAAACAAAAAGCACCGGTTGACATCTCGATATGAAAACCAACACAAAGTCAAAACCATTGCCAAGCGATCAGTGGTACATGTGGCCATGTCCTTCTTTAGCCTGAAACCTTGACGTCACTTTGAGATCGCAGCTAGAGAACGCTTGGTATATTCATCTTCTTTTATGATCTGCTCCAACTTGTAGAACTTGTAAATCGCCAGAAGCGCTGAACAGGTAGAAAGTGTCGCTCCAGTTACAGCAGTTGTGACAATTGCCATTACCGACCAGTCTCCACCTTGAGACGTACACACGTTGATGACAGTGGTCAGCAGCCCGGCGGCAGCATTCAAGGATAGAGGCCTAGTTCAGTCTTAGCCCTGGGTCTGCACTTCAATCTCTCACACAGCGTTGCTCACTTACACAAAGAGTTTATTGATCAGCCATAGGTAGTTTCCCCTGAGCTTTGGGAAGCGCATCAGCCACATGAGAGCTCCAATACCACTCACAAGAAGGAAGCACGCAATTGCGAGTAATGGAGGGTTCTGGATGGTATGCAGCACGGTACGGCCTGCTTTGTTGACCTGCAACAACTTTTTAACCTGACTCGAAGTTTGCAGCGAAGTGAACGTGCCGGGGATGACGAGATATTCGGCCAGCATTGCCCAGTTAGCTACACCGACCGTGATATTGAATCTGATGTCCATCTCTGCCTCTTCCTTAAGCATTCTGACATAGGTAGTCTCAATCGGGTGGTTGATCTGGCTGGCTCTAGAAAGCGCAGGCGTCACATTGTCGGCTGAGCGGAATGGAACAAGCGCAGATTTCGTTGCAGGAAAGCCAATCTTTTTTGGTCCCATTTTACCTGCCATACTTGGCCACGGACTTAATGACCAAGTAATACTCGGGGATATCACGATGAGGACATAAGGAAAAAAGAACGTTACAAATGCATTATATAGCCCGCAGTCCAAGTTTGCTGCATATTTACGAGGGAGGAAGCTGCAGTTTTGACTCGCGGTGAGCCTTGCAGCTGACCTATTTTCCAAAAAAGGAGGCCCCTGATCGAAAGCGACTATTATTACAATCCTGATTCTACCGCAATTTGCAGATGCATATGAAAAAAAACCTGGCGCCCAAATATTCTTCTCTGAGGTCAGATTTTGAGACGAGAAACGACCACGCCTGTTCGAATCTGAGGGTCAAGCGACACTTTGAAGCTCCTCTTGTCATTTTCAGACGAGCGCCCGAATATAAAGCTTCCAGCAGACCTCTTTCCTTCCTTAGGGCTCTCACTCCATCTAATGGCTGCTTGGCTTGATCTCGTCAGCGAGAATGAAGTATGGAATTTAGTGGATACCAACCGGTTGAAAGAACTTGTGCAGGAATTGCCCTATCCAAAATGTCAATATCCGTCCCTGCTCTACTTTACAGGAAATTCAAACCGCATGAAAGCTTTGCGAGCTCTGTTCCCCTACAACAACATCACACGCAAAGGCCCCTCTGGCTTGATTCGTCTTCATCTCAGCACCAATACCGCTCATACACAGAGCCCTGTATTGTTTGCTGAAAGCAGTTTAAACCTGGAACACAACATGGGCGACTCGAAATGGCTCAAGCATTCAACTACAAAGCATCGAAGCTTCTCTATAACGGGCACAGAAGGGCTGTTGCCCCCTGCAAGGCTACAACAAGAAGTGAAGAGGGAACTTGTTTTACCATGGACCCAGGTCCTGTGTTTGTTCCTCGATTCCGCCGCTGACATTCAGGCCGCAAGAAACTTACTCCAACAACCACGTCGACAGCTGACTATTGGCGACGAGGGTATTTCGGCTCCCACGCAGATAGTCATTGTCTTGACCAACGGCAAGCATACAACAAAAGCCTTCACACAAGAATACGCACAGCTTCAAGAGATGATCAAGACCGGGACAGTCACGATTCTCGATCTCAGTCCACGTAGCGGGCTTTCAGACAGCGTCGCTTTTGCGCCACTGGAAAGCTTGATCCTCAAGCAACTCGGTATAGTCCAGGCCGAGCAACTATCAGCTTGTCGGCGGTTCTCAGCAGTTCACCTCAGTGCTTTCTGGAATACTCATGTACAAATTCACCAAAGGCTGCTCGATGCACCGCCATTTGATCTATTGGAAAGGGCCCGAAGGGGCTATACGAAAAATGACACGATGGGCGATTGTCTTCGAGAGGTCAGCCAGCATAGAAAATCCGTTAGCTGCTCAAGGGAGGACTTTGATGATCTTGTAGCTACGGCTTTCTTGATGGATGCCTACCCCCTGGAATGCATGGTAAGTTCGAATTTTCTTTCTACTCGCACTTTCATGTCTCGACTTAAAAGCTGAATTTCTCAGGTTTCTCGCCCACCTTGGTGTTCGCCGCGCTTTATGAGAAATTATGTCTCGGCATCTGGGACGAAAGGTTCCAGAGCCATATTGCTGGCGTTTCATTCCGCTTCGTGCAACATTTCTGGCAGTTGAGTGCTGTGAGGACTTCAGCAGCCATTCGAAAGGAGACGTTGCATCGCTTGTATCGCCGGTGGGGTGGTCTTCGTTCCACCACTACTTGCTTGGTCTGTCTGTGTCGACCCCCGGAGCATATGCTCCCCTGCAAACATGCAATATGTGACACCTGCATCGTGATCTTCGGAAATCCAAGTTCGCTTGGGGAGTATCATTTCGAGGTCGCTCAATGCCCTATCTGCGACGAGAGGTCCAACGTCACTGTCCGCCAACTACCTCCAACTAAGCATCCGGTGATTCTCAGTTTAGATGGCGGTGGAGTGCGCGGTCTGATTCAACTAGGCCTTCTACAAGCTTTAGAAAGGCGCATTGGTGTTCCGATCGCATCTCTACCAGATCTGTGCACTGGAACTAGTGTAGGTACGTACGACCACTGGCCGAGTGATTATGGTTGATAGACTAACAAAACTGGCGATTCAGGCGCACTATCCGCTATTGACATCATTCTCAATCAATCTTCAGTCACGCAATGTTTCAATGCATTCCCCGACCTTGCGCGAAATATTTTTCGTCGTTCCTCCAATAACCCACTTCCTCGCTGTATTCGGTGGCTTGCTTCGGCGTTTAACTTGACCACAGATGGTCTTTATGATTCCGATGGGCTGTCACAAATTTTCAAAGCAGCCGTTGGCCCATCTCGCCGCATGTTCGATGTTGCCACGGCTAGCCCTGCGGGTTGCCGGATCGCTATTGTGGCAAGTCGTACCTCCGATGGCAAAGCCTGCGTATTGGCCAACTACCGAAGAAAAAGCCCACGTTCCGCAAATACCGCCTATCAATTTTTGGCGCCACATGATGACCGGGAGGATCCTTTTCTATGGGAAGCGTAAGTCGGCCGTCCGAGTGCACCCAATGTGAATAGTAGTAGCCGATTTTGCTAACGATTAGCTTTTGACAGAGCTATATGCAGTGTTGCAGCACCCTTGTGAGTTCAGACACCATGAGACATAATATCGCGCTGACACTCTCTAGTTACTTCCAGACCAAAACTTTGCCAGGCCTTGGTCTCTTGCAAGATGGTGGGGTCCGGGCGAACAATCCGCTAGCCATTGCTTTGCGAGAGTCGGGCATCATCTGGCCCATGGCGAAAAGGCACGACCTTCTCCTATCTGTCGGAACAGGATTCTCAACGTCTAGCCCCAGCGATTCAACTGGTTTTCTTGATCGCATTCGGGAGGGTGCTCTTCTCCGACTGTTTCGGGTCATGATGTCTTCTCCCTCTATGGATGGAAAGCAAGGGTTTTTGGAAGCTCTCAATTATCTTTCCCATTCGTCGACACCCGATATTTTCCGGCTGGACCAGGCCATTGATGGTACACTGCCAGCATTAGACGATACGTGCTCGCTGGAAAAAATGTCGAATATGGACTTTGCAGTGCCAGCTGAGCTTGTGAGGAGCATTCTTGCGTCGGCCATGTTTTTCTTTGAGTTAGATGAGTCTCCCGTCCAGGGCAATGCTTCCTTTTATTGTCGGGGATCTATTCTTTGTTCACGACCGAACCCTACCGACATCCTGCAGCGAGTTCTTGTCGAGTTCCCCGGCGCCAGGTTTCGGTCTGGTCAGGACCACGATTTGGGAAGCATAGATCCAGTCGACGTTTGCCGACTTTGTGGATATTTCAGAAAGCGCGTTGCTTTTCGGGTCACCAGCCTTGAGGAAAGAGTCTCAATTGAGATTGCCAATGATACTTTTCGTGAAAAGATTGGCGGCTTCCCCAAATCGACGCTAGAATTTCTCGATGAGCAGAAGGCTTACGCTCAGTTTGGACGTGCAGATCATCAAATCCTAGATTGGCCGCCACGGAGATCTTGTTACTGCTATCGTGGGTCAAAGCGACTAGTCCACTTCTTGGAGCCTATTGTTGGGCAGAAAAGACGGCGGCTGTGAGCTGTGTGGATTTCTCATTTGGTGTTCTAGGAAGATAACAGTTAGAAGCAATATTCGATTTAGGCGAGACGGGAAATCCAGGAAACTGGCACCCAATAAGACGGGGCCCGTGCCCAGTCTCGTCTGCCGCTTTCCCCGCCCCTTTCTTCTGCCTGGCTGGTTTACCCTGGCAATAAAACTAGTCGGGAACAATCAAAACAAATCAATATTATGCTTAGGCTGTCTGAATCTAAACTCCAACATGCCGTGTCTGTATTTGCGCCCTATGCATACACGTGATGGCCGCCCTTGTTTGTGAAAATCTAGATATTGCGAGTAGGGCGTTGCAAATAAAATCGTCATGAAGGTCACTCGGTGGCAAAGAACCATGCGCCATCTCCAATATACCACCTATTAAAATGGCGGTGCAATTGGCGCCTAGGAACATCGTTGGGATTATCAACAGGCTGGCTTGGTGCTTTGCCGGTGCTGGTCTACGACTAAGAATTCGAGGTCCGCCAACGGTGGTGAGAATGTGAGGAAAGCCGTTGAGAAAGTACCCAAGAGCACCAATCGACTGCGTTCGCCCATAAAACAGACCTTTCGTTCTTAAAAGGCCTGCGAACCTCGAGACCAATCTCGGTTTCAGTGAGCTGAGACGTCAGTCTGCGATCGATATCCGATGAACCCTTTTCAAAAACAAATTTGCGGTCGCTCTGGCGACACCACCTCAAGCATCTACAGTCGATCCACCGACACGGCCAAAGATGCTATCCCTATGACTACCATACCAACTAACCTACAAATCAAGCCATCTCTTCCTGAGATAAATCTACTGGACCACCAAATCTCTATGGCTCGTGGGTCTACCATGGCCTTGGAAACCACACGGCCGCGACTGAGAAAATCCAAAACACAACCCCAAATGTCGATTTTGGAGTTAAAGGCCGAACGAATGCAACAACATAGTCAGCAGGGGCTTGAGAACAATTTTTATTCCAAGTGTTTTGAGAGCTTCCACCAACTCGTCAGCGCCACAATGGACGCAACCCAAAGTCTTGCTCTGCAGTATCATTTCAACCCCGCAAAAAGCCCTTTTGGTGACCCGCGCCTGATTCGAGCTATTGTTTTATTAAGAGTGGCTCTTGATAAATCCCAAGCTGAGGAAACCAGTGCAGAGCAGGAGTGGAAGCAGCAGTGGAGGGTCTCTTCCGTTCGGCAGTCTTCACTTCGATGGCTTTGACACTTTGGGAGCTTTGTGTCTTTGACCTGTCAAGACCATTGAGGATAACCGGTTGAACTGGATTTAAAACAAAGGCCGTGGGGTGACTTGAATACTAGACGAGGTTTGATCTGTGGCTTGAGGTTTTTCCGCAACAATTGAATAGCATATCAGAATCCGTGCTATGTCTTTTTCATATTAGCCACAGCAGAGGGACCGTGCATTTCACCATGCGCTTCGCGTTGGAGGGATAAACCGACGAGCTTTAGGAGCTTTTGAACTCCACGCGTAAGAACTGTTTCACTTTGGAGACAAAATCGTCTTCAATGCTCTGAAGCACTCTCTTGACCGCTTCCGGAAGCAAGATCATCCGCCGATCCAGATGCTGGGGGCGGCATTCACATAAAGAAATCTTTAGGAGAGCTTTTTGCTTTAGCTGGGCTGTCAGCTGGTCGAACTCTGAGAGCGCTGTCTTCACGAACTCTTGAATGCGACAAAGACTTTTGGTCTCTTTGAAGCCAGCGATGCATTTCGAGAATTGATTGGCCCCGCGAAGCATCTTAAGGAGGTTTTACCGATCGTGTGGAATGCGGTGCACAGCTGCGTGGCGAATACTGGTAATCACGCGATGCCATCCTGTCAACGCGGTCAGAGTCAACTGAAAACATTCGTCCCTGACTTTGTTTTGATGAGCTTTCAAGAATCGAAAGAACTTGTGTAACTCTAAAGCTTCTGGGCACGTCCATCCGGCTGCTATGGAGTCCGACAGACGCCATTGCTGAAGGAAGCGGAAGGCATGATTTTCGAGTTGTCGTTGTATGACCTGCAGGATATGGTGTTGAGCGCGAAATGAAAAGTAGCCAACCGAAAATCCGGGCGATGAGCTTATGATTTCTGACGAACTGAGAGAGTGGTCAAATACCACTAGGACCCTTTGGGACGCTTATTCATCGATCACCCAATTCCCACTAGTATTTGTACGGTATTCCGGGCAGATTCGGAAGGACGGTGTTGTAACACGCCGAAGCTTATTTGTATAGACCCCTGAGATCGTTCAACCGATCTTTAAAACACCTACAATCAATCACCTGATTCTATTGGACATGTTCAGTACCAGCCAGTACATCAATTCCTCATCCTGACAGTTATGAGCCCGATCTGCCTGACTGTATAAAGGAGATATATCACCTACCTGCTCTGTATCTCGCAGTCAACGAATCCCCGAAGCACCCAACACGGTCGGATACCCCTGAACGCCCAGCCACCCCTTGTGAGCTCTTGCGTCCAGTGCACAGAAAATCCGGACCGACAAGCAGCCTTCGGAAACGTTTTATGAGGAGATTTTGAGTATCTGAGCTATATCTTGTGCGAAGATGTCCGATATCACGAGGGAAGATCTGATGCAAGTCCCGCTTGACCAGAAGCTTCAGTCGGAAGCGCAGTGGAGGGTCTGGATAGGCCATATCAAATCAGCGGCTGTTGCAGAAGATGTGTGGGATTACCTTGATCCTGAGAAGGCGGATGACGAAGTTCTGCAGGTGCCTGAGGCTCAGGAAGAGCCCTCGTTACCCCGGGATAACCGCCAGCGGGAGAGAGATATCATGGACCTAGAAGATGCGGAGCTCAAGAGATACACGTTCACTGTTCAAGCGTACGATCGCCGCGATCAGCGCAGACAGAGGTTATTAAAGACTATGTCACGATTAAACAGCCTCATCACCCGTTCGTTAGCCACGGATCATCACTACCTCGTCGTGGGCGAGGATTCACCGCGGAAGAAGTTGATGAAGCTATCCGAAACGTTTAAACCAAAGCCTCAGAATCGCCAGCAGCAACTTCGTCGTGCTTGGAGAGAGATGATCAGGCAGAGGCCTCAAGGGGATACTAACCACTGGTTGACCCAGTGGGTTAGCCTATTCGAAGAAGGCAAGATCGCGGGTATACCTGACTGCTCTAACGGAGACCATTTCGCGATACGAGACTTCTTGGACGCTATACAACCGGTTGATGATACTTGGTGCACAGCCTGGCGCGAAAAGCTCGCAGATCAGGAGAAATCTGTCACGTTTCATGAGGTTATAGCTAGCTACCGTAGCCGCCGGGGTGATCTCGCGATCTCCGGGGGACGGAAGCAGCCAAAGATAGCTCTGGCTTCGTTAAACGGTGAACCGGAGGCTAAGCCCGCGGAGAGGACCTACCGGAAGAAATGCCCGTGCGGTAACGCTCATCCTCAGCACCAGTACTCTACGTGCTTCTACCTCAATGAATCACTTCGACCGGAGGGCTGGAAGCCACGGGAGGGTACT